GATATGTCAGAATATATGCCAGAAGATATGTCAGATAGAATGCCAGAAGATATGTCAGAATATATGCCAGAAGATATGCCAGATAGAATGCCAGATTGAATGCCAGAAGATATGTCAAATAGAGTGCCAGAAGATATGCCAGATAGAATGCCAGAAGATTTGCCAGATAGAATGCCAGAAGATATGCCAGAAGATATGCCAGATCATATGCCAGAAGATATGCCAGATAGAATGTCAAATAGAATGTCAGAAGATATGTCAGATAGAATGCCAGAAGATTTGCCAGTAAGAAAATGTATAAATGTCATGGCGGGGATCACGCGAAGTAAAGTATTTTTTTGGTTCAACACCTACCTTACCTTTGTAGGTTTTACACTTATAAGTCTCACAGGTGTTTTTGTGTTGCCTCATGACAGGATAATAAATGTATACACATATATATAATATATACATACATTCAAATTGCTTTGTAAGAACTCGAACTCTCTTTTGTGGTCTTGTTGTTTCAGTATCATCCTGAGATACTGTGATTTCTAGCGACCAGTCCCATGTGCTCCATATGTTCCATGTCCAATTGCATTGTATTTGACGGACATGACTGGGTGGTTTTGGGTGGACATGTTGGGAAATCTTCCACCATGAAGATCCATAAGCATTCGGGAATGTTTTTTTCTAGTATGTTCGAGCCTCCTTGGTGGTTCCAATTGTTTTTTGTTACTTCCATATGCGGGATGCTGATCTCCAATGGCCAATGATCAGTGTGTTTTTGTTCAAGGGGTTCAAAGCCACCAGCAGACACTTGATGGGTTGTAGCTATGCACCTTGATGTGTAGTGTAGTATTTTTTGGGTTAGATGGATCTATTATACACGGATTCCTTGTATTGCATAACCCATTAAAAGTCAAACTACCTTTGTGTAACATCATAGCTCCGGAAAATGGTCCCTTTGTCCCTTGGTAGATGATTTACTATGTATTTATTTATATGTATATATATATATATATACATATGTACATAATTATGTATACTATATTTTTATACACACACACATATATATATATATATTATATATACATATTGATGGCGGTTTTAGGCATGTTAGATTGCTGGAGGATAACCTTCATAACTTGGCAATCGACAAACCCAGGCGATTGCTGCCATGAGCAGCTTAGCCATGCCGCGTGCCATGGAGTTGTTCAAGGATGTGGAGGAGAAAGCTGTGGCAACTCCCAGGAATTGAAACGGAAGCTTCAGCATCCAATATACAGGTTATTCAATATGGTTATTTGAATTCCAGATTTGAATTATGGCCATGAGAGGCAACCTGCACCTCTGCCAGTTTCAATATTCTGCATCAAGAAGCGTACATTTTTTGCAGCACAAAATTCGTGCATTCTCTTTATGCATCCAAACTTGCTTTGCCGTGATATTCACGATTGTTTGGTATTACCTGGTAAGTTTGCATGTATTTTTTTCCTTTTTGCATTTTTTCCTGCCTTTGAATCATTGAATCTGGGTAAATTATAACGACCTCACTGCGACCGAAACCTGGAATCATGGTTAATAAGAGGAATCATCCCAAAATGGCCTTATTTCAGGTAAAGGACAAGAACGGGGTTCCTGCTTGGGCAATCGCTGGGCAGGGATCCAACAAGCAACGTCGAATGATGGCCTTATTCCAGGTTAGTGAATTAGGCCTTATTCACTGATAATGGCCTTATACCCAGATTATAAAAATAATGGCCATTATTAATGGCCCTTACCCAGATTTTTCATGTGCTTTGCACGGTTTATTTGTCACGGCGCAGATGAGTGTCACGGCTGCGCTGAGGCGCAGCTTCGAAATCCAGGCCGTGGTGAAGTCCTGCAGCCTATCATTTTTTGATATGGTGTTTAATGATGAATAATTAAAAACCATGATATATATATATATATACTATATAATATATATATATATATATACTATATAATATATATATAACAATGATATTTTTTCAATGGTATATGTCAATATATAATTAAAATTTAACCTCATTAAACAGCCTATCACTGTTGAATAATCATTAAATGGTGTTTAATGAGGTTTTATATGATTTAATAGGGACCATATTGAATGATTACATGATGTTTAATATGGTTAAGTTTTATATGATTTGATAGCGGTCATCATGGGATGCGCTCATGGGATCATCCGGTCTCGAACGTTGCGTCCTGGATATAAGTCCCATCAAAAAGACACGGAGGTTTCTGGCAGGGAACATCCATCGAAGTGAGGGTATCTTCATGGATTTTCTGCTGTGAGTACCGGAGGGTCAATCTCCCCAGATCGCGAGGTGGCTATTTGAAGGTGGCGGTTTCCAGAGAGGGCACAGGCCCAGGCCCAACAGGCGGTGCAACGCCCAGGTGTGGATTCCAGGGCGTTTTCGGAACGGTGATCGGGGACTGATCTCCTAAGTTGGATGTAAACTAAGCTGGTTCAGTCTGGATATTTATGGATAAATTATCAAGATATTTAGTCATAGAATCTATGCAGTACCAAAACTGATCCATAGTCCAATGGTTTTTCTTGAGAAGTACCCTTTGGTAAACGTTTACATAACTATGAAAAATCACCATTTTTTAATGGGAAAATCCACTATCATTGACCATTTTCAATAGCTATGTTAGTTTACCAGAGGGTAAACCATTGTAAACCGATCAGTGACGGAGGGGCGAAGAAAAACTGATACCATGCGGGCCCACATCCCGGGATCTTGTTGGGATCATGAGGCTAACCTGCCGTGCCGTTCAGAACGGAAGGCAACTGAAGTATGAAGGAACTTTTGCCTGATATGTACATCCAAGTACTGTATGGATTCACCAAACTAATATATATATATATATATATATGTGTGTATATATATATGTGTATATATATATATGTAAACATATATATATGTATATATATATATATGTAATTATATATATATACACTATATAAATATGAATATATATATATATAATATGAAGGTGATGTGATTTGAGCAGTGATCAGTGATGTTAATATTCATCTTGTATGTGGTCAATTTACAAGAATCTTCACCAGGGGAGTTATCTCTATATCCCATTATACCCCAGTGTTTGCTTTGCTTTACATCCACAATTGAGCAACGACCATGTCTTCGTTTTATGTTGGGTTTGAAGTAAGATGGCTTTGCGGAAATGAACACCCCAAAGCGTGGAAGCTTCGCTCAAGCTCTCGCGTCAGTGGTCCGAAAATCAGGTTGAATCACCATGGATAGCCATTTGCAGATGGTTTTTAGGAATTGTTATGCAATATTCCTATATATATATATTTGAATCTTAGTGTTGATAGTAGAACACCCCCGCGGTTTATATCACCATTTAGCATTATATAGCCAGTGATAGCCATGGTTTTAGCCGTCGCCAGTTGTACCATGTGTATCACCAGCATCCAAGTCTTGAGGGGCCGAGCCTTGATTCCGCCAGGTCAGCCATTTATGCACAACCGCGACAGGCAGAAGCACCGGGGTTGATACTCTGGAGACAGATGCAGATATATAGATACTCTCTGGTTTGCAGGGGATTTGTTTCACCCATTATGAACATATTTACAAAGCGTAGACATTGAAAATCACCAACCTTTATTATATATATATACTGTGGCAACTTAACTAATCTTTGAACCCCTATCTGAGGAGGGCCGACTTGTTAATTTACTGCAGGGTACTGTGTTTTATACTTGCTGCACTTTCACTGTTACTCATACTGTTTTTGGAACTTATTGGAGAATTATCCAAATCTGATTGAACAAAAATGGGGTGGTGAATAACGATTCTATACTAAGTAGGTATGACAATGACGGCTTATCCTCGCGTCGAATTCACTCCCGTTCCGTGGGTGACAACGCGAGCGTCCAACAGTTGAATTTTTCCCAGGGCAAGCCACCGACATTGAGCCCCATTCAAATTTTAGAATTTCCATGTCTTAGGTCAAAATGTCAATGGGAATTCCAGGATCCTGAAATTAGGCAATATTTTGTGGAAACAAATCCTTACATAGCCCTTACATAGGCCTTATCTATGGTAGGTACCTCCAATCAATCGGCCCCTGAGATGGCCAGTGCAAATCTGGTTGGTGGTTTCAAACATGTTTTATTTTCCGTTTCATATATGGGATGTCATCCATTGTCATCCTTCCTGACGAACTCCATCATTTTTCAGGGGGTCATCCCTGCGGGCGACAAACTCCAGAGGTCCGCGGGGTTTTTATCGGTAGGAAAAAGTCACCGCTGCGGATGGGAAAATCCATGGAAAACCGGCAAGAAATTAACTCTTGGCCAAACCATAAACCTAATTCATCCTAATTCATCATAATTCTTCGGGTTGATCTAAGGAAAATATACAGGAAAACTGCGTTTTTTACCATGAAAAATATGTGTAGTTCCTGTAGGTTTTCCCCAGATTAAACCATGTCTGGGAAACAAATTGGTGTTAAATTGCTGGGTTGTCGACGTGAACCAAACGAGAAAGCTATATTTTATGATGGTACATTTTTTTGTAGATACAATCCCGAACAGCCCCCGGAGTAAAGAAAGAGCTTGTCAATACACAGATCCAGTGATTGAGTGACGGCAAGCCAAACGAATTCAAGCACAGAGGAGAGCGAGAAGTACGCATCAACAGAACAGTGGGTGCACATTGGACATTGTCTACGAGGTTGATAATATGGGTGGCCACCCACCAGAGGGCACATGGGCACCATACCAGTCCCAAAAAGAAATCTCTACTCCAAACGTCATCTCTGGAATGATCTGGAACGTTTACATCAGCGTCACTGCGCATTTAGATGGGCGCGAATGGGCAAATTTGTAACTCTGTTGAAGGATATGGGGGGAAAAAACATGGAAAAACAATATCAAAGACATGCAGACTTACACACAGACCTTTTGCACACAATTGGTTACAAATGCTGTCGGCGAATTCGATACCTTCAGAGCCATGCTCGCAGCGTTGCGGGCGTCCCACAGCCCGGTGCTGCGAAGATCCCTGCGCAACGTGCCGAGCTGTTTTTTCGTGCTACGTAGAAACAAGGCCCTGGAAGATGTGTGGAGTGGGAGATAGTAGGAGTCATGAAGTTAAAAAGTTTCAAACAAAATCAAACAAGTGGGTTCTAAAAAAGAACAATAAATGGGATATGATATGTTTCTTTCTGAGGTAGGTTCCGGAGGTTATAATGGTTTTGTTCCATGAGCAGAGCAAAACATACTTGGATAATTATACCTACACCGGAGAAAGCCTCGGGAAAACGCCTGGAAGCGGCTGGAAGATCTTCAGAGGCCACGGTCGACCCTGGTGAAATCCTCTTTTCGGCCCGTGGCCAGGTGGTTGCAGCAAGCAAGTGGCGCGAAACGTATCGTCAGCTGTTTCAAGAAGCAGACAAAGACAACAATGGTAGCTCGGTTCCTTTTATGATTTTTATGGGGATTGGTATAGTCACTATAGTCTTTGGTCCAGAGATGTCCAGAGCCGGGACATTTTTTCGTGGTAGGAGCCATCTCCTCGGTGAAGTGTGACACAGTGTGCTTGGGACCCTTGGGACCCTTGTTGCTTATGGCCCGGTAGCAAGAGGAAACTTCCTTATTGTTGTGGTTGGTTGGTTCTATCCCAGGATTGATTGGTTCAGGATGGTTCAGGTTCGTTTGTTTTGATTGCTTCATTCATATTCATTCCGCATTTTGTCCTTTTGAAGTGCAATGCCTTAAATGACCTCTCAGTTGCTGGGCCCATTGAATATCATGATTACGGGAATGGTGTGATGAAAAAACACCGTCACTGCCCACATGTCCACCAGGCCTCACTCTCATGTTGTAGGTAAGATCTCAATTTTGCTTGGAAACATGAGTTTTGGTGGAGATTTTATTCATAGAATCCAGCTTGATTCCAAGGTGTTGTGGACAAGTTTACGTCAGAACTACCAGTTGATTGTTGTTGACATTCCGTATTCATAAAATACATACCAACATCCCCAAAATCATAAATCACCAGCGGGTAATATAGCAGCACCATGAAGCATTTGTTTTTTCCCACGGAATAGTAGGAAAACTCATTCCCATGAATTCCTAGTATTAACAAAATATATTAATCCTATCACCTAAAATGGTTTGTTCTGTGGTATACCATTGAACAATGATTTTGAACCATCAATATCCATCAAATATTAATCATATATCAGTAATATTAATCCCAGTATTAACCATTCAACCAATCACCACACAGTCCCCAGAACATCCCCATATACGGTATCATGGATAGTGATACAATGATCTAAAACCTATAGTTCCTGTGGTCAAAATGTATCATTTTATATATAGCTTACGCCCCAATTGAACCTTAATTAAGCCATTCAATCCAAAAACACGGACAGAACACTGAAACCCATCTTGAAACGCCATTCAACAAAATACCAACAACATATCAACAAAGATCATGAAAAAAAACATGATCAAGCCATCTAAAACCAGCAATTTCCATGTGATTTTCCCAGGTTTCCTGGACATCGCAGAGGTGAAACTTCTGCTCCGCGAGCGGCTCAAGGCCCTCAGCACTGCGAAAAAAAACACGGCGCCGGAGGCAACGGAGGCAACGGAGGACGCGGAAGCGGAAGCGGCGGCAAGGCGCTCGGAGGAGGCAGGGAAAGCGATGCAAAAAAGGGGAAAACCATAGAATTACCATAGAATTACCATGGATTAGCTACATATATATCATATAATCACATAGCCTATTAGCTATATTTATTTGATTTGATTTAATAAATTTATGATATGATTGTCTATGTTGGTAGGTAGCCAAAGGACATAGGGAAGCATCGTTTTTCTTTTTGCGAGAGCTTGAGGATTTTGACCAATAAAACTGTGGTGTTGAATCGATTTGAGCTTCACATCGCTCACATAGGTCTCATGGGTTATCCACGTTGATCTTCTGAGCGCAGGGGCGCACCAACCTGACAGGAATACATTGATCATTGCATCGAACAAGCAGATGTGAATAAGGATGGCAAAATCGATATCGATGAGTTTCTTGGACAGACCACATGCCGGAGACAGAACTGGAAGTCAAGTCTTCGCATTCTTTTTTGGCATACCATCAGTACTATCAAAAGGAAGACTATGCTGACTCAGATGGGCCATAGATTTACTTTGATAGTAGTTAACCGGTATATTTGCCCAGTTGTAAGGAGATAATGGAAATATAGCTAGTGAACTCATCCCATGGCCGCATGGCCCATCTCATGCTCATAATCATGAGATTTTGCTCCCCCCCTGTCTTTGGATATATGATTACATATGCTGCATGTGTGTGTGTTTCGTGTGTTTGTTTGCACATGGGTATCCAATATGTATTTTTGCATGTGTATAGGACTTGATAACTAAGTATATGCTGCAGTATATGGAACTAGCATCAGCTGGCATGGTGCCCTAACTAGCAAAATTACAGGCAAACACCTCCTCTTGCTGGAGGCTCAGGTAGGGGACCTGTGCGTCATTGCACAAGACATCCTGAACCCCAACACCCTCTACATCTATACAACCCTAAACTTTCCCTAAACCATAGGCCCTAGACCCCAAAAAACAATGGAATCCAGAGGGAAACCTTATAACCTAAACACGTAAACTCATGTAAACCCTAAAACGCTACTTCTTAAACCCTAAAACCTTGGAAACCTCGTGATTTTGGGCAACATGGGGTGTCTGAGCGCAGAGTTACCCTGAACTGATTCTGTTTGGGAATCCGACTCACCAGGGCCCTAGTTTTATGGGCCTTGCAGCCGTACAGGTGCCTTTGATAGGGTATGATATAATTGCATGGCTCAATATTCTGGCAACACCAAAATTGATAGTATGGGTAGTTAAATCCCAGTAAATCCCATGAATTTCCATTAGAATCACCTTAAAGTTTCCTATAGGTCCTTTGCGAAATCCACCTGCCGGAGGTTTGTTCATTTGATGGTCCTTCATCTGCCGGATGCGCGCATTGCAGCCGACGCCGAATTCGTAACGGATCAGCGCCGGTGCATCGCGGAGTGGTCGGGGGAGAGGGCTCAGAGGCTATTGACCATCATCTTGAATGCTGCAGCAGACCGTGTTTTGGATCAAATGAGGCAAATAAGGTGGCCAGCAGAATGGGTTAATTTGATTTTATTTGGGTCCGTGTGTCAGATGATGTCAAATCATGATGTCAAGCAGGTAATGGTCCAAAGGAATGGGAAATTCGCTGATGTTACATTTTGGATTATTGTGGATATGAGCAGGTTGATGGGGAGGGCCAAGCATTTTGGACCAACAAGTATAATCTAACTAGGTGCTGATCCTTGGCTGGACACATGTATTGCTCAGTGGACTGCACAGGCAAAGCATGGCAAAGCCGCAAATCCGAGTTGCGGCAGCACACTGTTCAAACCAAATGGAGATGGGTTGTATGCAAATGCAAACCATCCCCAACATATATATATATATATATTATATTTATATATGTATATAGAAATAAATATATATATATATTTAATATATGTATATATATATAATATACCTGGAGCATCAAATGATACATAAATTTAGGTATCGAGATTTTTAGGTATCAAATCCCAAAAAACAATCGAATTCCCAAAAAACGCTCGAGGGGTTATCATCATCTGAAATTTATGTATATTTGATGCTCCAGGTCACCCAGCCACCAGCCTCGCACACATACTTCACCACAAACCACGTCGAGTGGCTCGACTTTTCACTGAGCTGCCGGGAGTCTCAGAGCTGGGATTCCGCCCGTGGGTTGTTTGACCCAATTTCCCAAAGTATATATTAAGCCAATTAAAAGGTGATGGTATTGGCAATGACTTCATCTTTGCCTAGGCATTGGAAATGGAGTGTCTAAGAGCCTCCGGTACTTCATCAGAGCTCTGAAAATTGTTCTGTACCCCGTAGTAAATGGGTGCGTGACACGACTGATTCTGCACACACGTCCGATGAAGTCTTCATCGGACCAGCAGGCCCATGCCAAAAAAATGATAAGAACTTCAGCACCGCAAGTCAATCGCTGTTCCCATTCCTTCCTAAGTAGTTGGAAGATGGCACCCCAATTACTTGACTTCGAGTTATCCCCACCATGACATTTATACGTTTTGTTACTGGCAAATCTTCTGGCATTCTATCTGACATATCTTCTGGCATTTTATCTGGCATATCTTCTGGCATTCTATCTGGCATATCTTCTGGCATTCTACCTGGCATATCTTCTGCAATATTTTCTGGCATATCTTCTGGCACTCTATCTGGCATATCTTCTGACATTCTATCTGGCATTCTATCTGGCAAATCTTCTGGCATTCTATCTGGCAAACATTCTGGCACTTTATCTGGCATACCGGCATACCTTCTGGCATTCGATTTGGCATATCTTCTGGCATTCTATCTGGCATATCTTCTGGCATTTTATCTGGCATATCTTCTGGCATATTTTTCTGGCATATCTTCTGGCATATCATCTGGCAAATCTTATCGCATTTTATATGGCATATCTTCTCGCATTCTATCTGACATTCTATCTGGCATATCTTCTGGCATTCTATCTGGCTTTTGAGGTCCAGCGGTGCGCACTGAACTCGGAAGGCCCCAGGTTGAGGTCCAGCGGTGCGCATTGAGCTCGGCAGGTCCCAGGTTGAGGTCCAGCGGTGCGCACTGAGCTAGGAAGGTCCCAGGTTGAGGTCCAGCGGTGCGCACTGAGCTAGGAAGGTCCCAGGTTGAGGTCCAGCAGTGCGCACTGAGCTCCGAAGTTGGCGAAGAGCTCGGCCAAGAGCTGGCAAGGCAACAGCGGACGTGGAAGTGGAGGCAGAGGTGGTAGAAGAGGAGGAGTACGCGGAGGAGGAGAAGGAGGAGGAAGGAGGAGGAAGAGGAGGAGAAGAACAACTCTGATAAAATCTAACAACCCTCACCTGGCAGGTGGGGAAAAAGTAAATGTTTTGATTTCCTCATTAGGTAAATTGGGGAAAAGTTTTTAGCTAAACTGCCCAGGATCGGAAAATGCTCTTGCATGTGTAGTTTTGGTTTCACCCGGTAGAGGCACCACCTTCGCTGGCAGCAAGCAGCTGCGAGCAACCCATAACCCTCCTCAGTTTTCACAGTGTGGTACAAGAACATCACCCTGTGCACACTAGACCCATAGAGATGCCCAAACTATCCCAAACTCATCAAAGGCACTAAGCAAACAGTAAAGCAAAATTTATTTGGCATGGTACAAGCGGCAACAAGAGCCCAACCATATGGTAGCAACTTGCGCGCAGATTCAGCACTTACGAACAACCCATGCTGATACATCCCTCGAAACCAGGTAATGCAAGCCAGCACGGTGTACTTAATGAGCTCCCAAAGGTCAGTGCCAGAACGATCCTTGGTTCACAGCTTGAAGACTAAGCAAGCAAAATGAGATCCCAGGCCAGAAACATCCCAGGCCAGAAAGGAAAAAAACATGTGCCAATATCTCACCAATCCACATGGAAAGCAGGCAGCATCGCAGGATCATCAACTACGGATTCCAACCACTTGCAAACGACGATGCAATCACTGCCAGAGCCGCCAAGAACTGGGTACTGCTGAAGCCTTGGCCGACTGTGGGACCCAGAAAGAAAGCTTTAGGTTTCCGTGGCCCATATGCAAAAACATTTGGCCCCAATAAAAGACAAAGCTGTAGCCAGTTGACGATTGCACTTTGAAGGTTTTGTAGGTAAACTCATGCAACTTGCAGGTGTGCTTTGTTCTGTACCTCCAACTCTGAAAGTGCTCCCATGCTCCCAGCAGTTTGTCTGGCATGTTGTTGGCAGGCCAAACATCCAGGTGACACAACAGGAAAATGGTTGAAGCAGCAAACTCTTTCCCCACTCCTATAGGCCAAGTGTGTGCTGGATCCGTCCGGATAAGCAAAGGAGACTCAACACCAGGAATAGTTCTCAAAGGAGTAGGAGGCTCATCAGTTTTCCACGGATCAACAAGCTGACCATTCCAGGACCGAAGATTTGAACCAAACTTCCACCACTCCTGAAATTTGCGCACGCGCACAGAGGAAGCACAGAGGAACAGCTCACACCCCCATCAATACAGACTAAACCACGTCAAAGTAGTAAACAAAAACTTTCGGCTAGATTTGTCAAGACTCAGTAGTATCACAGTAGTGGCAAACCCTCGTCGAACGAAAACCCGATTCCAGTTTCAGAGCCTTTCGAAGGTAGACCCAATCCCCCTTGATGCCGCAGCAAGCGAAAAAGAATGTTTTGCCATTGACCTGATTAGACATATGGGAAAAGTGCAATTGCAATCTCACACAGAAGAAAGTCATACAAAGGTATTGCCTTTCAAATAACAAAGCCTTTTTAGACCAATGTGCCACCATGGTACTGTCAGTCCATCCCAAAACAGATCGTAACAATCACGCGCCAGGACTTCATGAATTTCATCCCAAGTTTCATCAAGCATGATTTTGGTAGAGATCACCGTTGATAGAAAGCGAGTGCGGAAGCTATGCCTTACCATCACCAAATGATTCTTTCTGGGGGAAGTTAACTACATGGGTTGAATTCACCAGCGAATAAATTAAAAATTATCACCCATATTTAACTCTCATAGTTTGCTTCCATTAAAGGGCCTAAGTTTGGGCTAAAGGGGAAAAGCATTGGTCGTTTTCAATCATTGGCCTTATCCCACAATGGTGGATATCCGGATTTAACCTACGTTTTTTTGTGGTGAAATCATTGTCGGGAAAGTATGATAAACCACGGTAAATCGGACCAGTCACGAGGCAGTGTTCGTGTAGCCCATCCCCAATGGGTGGACCAACATCTGAAAAGCCACAACCAGAGTCGGTATGAAGTTCCTGCCCCTTCCTTCATCTCCATGGAGGGCATAGGGTATAATATACCCCCACTGTTCTTGAGGAAAGGTTTCATAAACTATGTGGTCCGGTTGTGTGTGACGATAGTTTGTCCAGAACATATGAAAAGTTCGAGTGTACACTTCCGTGTTCTCAACATTGTTGCAACCTCCCAAGAAATACCGGGGAAGATCCCTCAAAATGCATTTGGCCCACGCAGACAAAGTAACCATGGGGTATGGTTTTTTTTTCCGGTTGGATCTTAGGCCATTTCGCCCTCAAAGTCACAGTGTGGGAAGCGACCTCCACACCAATGCGTTTTCCAAGCTTGTCCAGCAAAGCATGAAAGTTTCGGGATAGATTTCGTCGATTGTGTTTGGAAGAACTGCCACAGGAAGCTATCCTCTCTAATGGCAAATCCCTGGCTCCTGAGGGGCAAACCAACGAATGATTGGATACATGTTTTTTGTTGGGTGGTAAATCTCAAATTATTACCCTGGTGACTTTGAAGCTCCACCGGAGGTTGAACATATTGAATTCCAGATTCCCCTAAACATATAGATTATTTCCAGTATGATCGGTATTTCTCAAAATGAGGGATGCTCGAAAATACCTACTTAAAAGGGTCTATCTGTCTAATAGGAATATTTTCGAACATCCCTCATTTTGAGACATACCACTATTGTTCATGTGTCTTTTGCACCACTTATCCATTACAGTAATACCAAATTCCATTTGGGGCCCACAAGCCTTACGAAGAAAATTGGGGGAAATGAAGATAAATTTGTGTCTTGACCTTTCGGAAAAAACAAACATTGTTCAAGGGATATTACAAGGTTTCCGGCTTGCATGAACATTCCCAAATCCACAGAAATACCAAGTATCCTAATCTCTTCATACGGCGGGATGCCACCCGAGCAAGACGCACCACCCTGCGGGCACTTTCAGCCTTAGACCCACTGGAGCTGTCCCCAGATAGTTTTATCTTGGACGCTTGAAATGATTTCCCAAAGAAAACTTATTTTGGAAAACACACAACATCATATTGTATGAATTAACTTGTGTCAAGGGACTCCTTCTTCGAATCCAATCATCAGTTCATCAGCAAGATCAGACCCCGAAAGATCGGAACCACCAGTGGTTTCACCTAAGCTGGAACCAGAGGGGTGCATTTTCTGTGGGCAACAGAAACTAGTCATGGCCAATGAGGCCCCGACTTGGGCTGTCCTCATCATCCGGTGCCTGCCTGGAAGGCCAAGCACCTGCGAGGGATGGGCAAAGGGCCAAACATGTTTTAAAGAATTAACTGCGAGGGGTGTTTCGGGAAAAAACCATGGGGCATTGAGCGACATTATTTTTCTCCTAAGCTTGAAGGCACTCGCGGTCACCCCCCCACGGTGAAGGATTGTGACTTGACCCGAGAGTATGTCTCAGGTAAGTCGTCCAAGTTGAATTGGGTTTTCAAACAGCCAGCTTGGTCTCAAACACGGCCCCAACATGTCTTGACAAAGAATGTGAAATCAGAGACCTTCTCATGGCAGAATGATCCCGGAACAAGATGTAATACACATGTCAGAAGCTAGGCAGATCTAGTCAGCGTTTTCAGCCTTCTTAGTCTTGCTCGGCTTGGCCTTGGATTTTACCTTTGGCTTCTTAGACCCTGCCGGCTTTGCCGACGATTTCGGGGAAGCCTTGGGCGTCCCTGTGCGAGGCAATTGCTTCGCCGGTGGCTTCAGATTCCTGCAAGTGCAGGCAGAGGTCTGTGAACGGGCTGGCACAAAGCTGGACAGATTTCATCCAGCAAATGGATATTAAAAACAAATTGTTTTCCAAACATGATGTACCTGGGTGCAAACGATCGGTTTTCTGTATCTTTGGTTCATAACTCACTGGAAGGTAACATCCCCAAAGCCATCCTAGAATACCATATGAAAACAACCCGTCAAATCAGGTTCACTATGTACCAATGAAGGTCGAAAGTCTTTATAGGATTTTAGTAGGGTTGCCCTTTTATTCTTTGAGACCCCATGATGCAAACCACTCCGCACAAGTAGCCTTTGAAGACTTTTGGCATGTCTTGGTGATTCTGGGAAGTTATATTCATAAGGGCTGACATGAACTATCAATAGAATATAAGGTATCTCACACCATCACTGTAAAAAAATTGAGCCTGGCGCGAACCAACAAGTTGTTCAAAGCGATGTCAAGCTTTGTGATCTCCGCAAACTTCTTCTTGATTTTCTCATGGCCGCTCTCCAGCTCTTCTGTGAGAGCTTCCCCTTGAAGTGTTGAAAGATCATCGAAAGCCGTGGATAGCAAGCCAACAGACTTTCCAATGCCGTCGGCCATCCTCGTGATGAGCATGGAAATCCAATATAAAACATGTTGGCTAAGTAAAACAAGTCGCTGATGTTTGGGATAATTCTTCCGAGAATCTCTTTGGCCTTCGGGAAATTTTTTGTTTGCAAGCGGTCCTGGGGTCATCAACCGCATTTCTTCCAGTTTTGGGGCATGGCTACGGTGATTCAACGGACTTTGAAATGATTTATGCAACGGTGGTTTACAGTCCTGTTCCTTTCCCGCATGCTCCATCTTTTTTGCTAAGCAATCCAAGAACTGTGGTACAATAGTCAGTGGTGACTGGTTCTGCTGCAGGGTCGGAAACACCAACCTCAGCGTGTAGATTTTTTGTGTTGGGCCAACATGTTTCGGTGAATAAAAACATTTAGGTTGTAGATGGGAAACCTGAAAGAAGATCCAAGCCCCTCAGTGGCCCCAGCACCTTTGCTGGCATTCTCGATTGCCTTCAGGGAGGGATCCTCGATGGACAGCGAGCTGCCGATGAAGTCAAAGTTGGGGTCCTAAAACTGGAAGTGGACAGCGGATGGGTACTAGCAAGATAATTAAGTTAACAGCTAGCTAGGAAGCCATCAATATGAGATGAACATCTCATTATCCCATGAACGCAGTAGATGGGTTTGACTGCATCTTTGTGACCCCAATCCTCGACTTGGAAAGAACCGGTTTGTGACATCTCTTCACCCTCGTTCTCTGCAACCTGGAACAACCTCTCGATTACCAACGATGCTTCCTCCTCTTTATGCACTGGGTTAATTTGCCACAAGCCATTCTGCTTGGCCCATCCAAATGCATGATCGCACATGGACCTTAGGAGGACAAGGAAGATGGTGGGGGACCACAAATCAGAACTTCCAAAAAGATTTGAATCCTACGCTGGTTCTGGATAAACCCCAGATTTTTGCAACAACATATACCAAAACTTTGACAATCATCCCTTGAATCTTTTTCAGGGGAGTCTTATGCTAATCAAAGATTCCTAGTCCAGTGCTTCTCCGCCATGAGATAATGTTTGGTCACCCAAGCGGTGTTGGTTTGCTTGGATGTACTTTTGGATTGCCACCTTTTCACCTGCGCCTCCATCTCCTCGAACGACCCACCGTTCATCAGGGCCGACTTGAGCTTGGAACCTTGCAAAGAATGGTTGACCAACTTTGGAGTCTAGGCGCTCCAAGAATTTGATTTGTGTTTTTCTGCCATGTTTTGAGCTCCTTGATATGATTAAAAATTAACTTACTCATATCGACTCTAGCTTCTAGGAGGCAATTATCAAGGCAGCTATGTGTCGCTAAGGGCAATAAACTATAGTCAAACTAGTTAGACATCAGCCATCAGCATGCGACCCTAGTCACGTCCATCAGCCGTTTTCCACAAGGAAAAAGCCTCATCAGAGCACAACTTGGTCCCATCGGCACGAGGTTTGAAGTAACGAACCATCCTGGGCCGACAAGTGAAGTTTTAAATTTGAAGTCATCGATCTAAATGGAAGGCTCATGACTCAAAAGGGTTCCCAACAAAGCACCCAGTTTACTGTTGAATTCCATTCCAACACCAAAGATTCTCATTTAAGGATTGACCATCCGATTATTTTTTTGAAGTACTTAAGCAGTTGTTTCTTTTAACAGACATACATATTCCGACCACAATATATTATATGATCTACTTACTTGTGGGACCTTGTGGAAGTTAATCGTTTGATTTTGATGGTAAAGGGGCTCCCCGCACAACCCTGCCTGTGGTAGTATTTGTCATACTTTTGCTTGCTTGGTGGTTCCACATCTCTCTCAGGCCGCTTGCTCCTCCTCGTCGGTGGGTTTGCACCTGGAAGCAGGCCAGCCGGTTTGTCCTTGCAAGATCCAGGAAGAACCTCACCTGCGGGATGAGTATCAAGTTTTTCGGGTTTATCGGCACCTGGCTTTGGCTCCTGGGAGTTGTTGTTGTTCCCAGTCCCATGAACGGCATGACTTGAGCTAGTCCTGAAGATCTTGGCTGGGGGCGTCTCAAAACCACTGGCAAGTCGTCTCACTGGTGGGTTTGCAAAGAACTTCCCATCGGACTCTGCAAAATAG